AGGGGGACGAGGGGGACGAGGAGGAGGAGGAGGAGCAGCAGCAGGAGGAGGAAGAGACGGATACGGGCGAGGAGGAGGAGGTCGGGGGAGGAGGGATGAGGAGAGGTAGGGGGAGGAGGGATAAGAGATGATTAAGAACCTGACCAGACAAGAACGGGAAGCGACTGCTGGAACTCTTGGCGCAGATCCTGCAGCAGAGGCAAAAGCAGAACGCTTGGGCGAAACACATGAATCGACTCGGTGCACGTGCACGCAATAGGAAGAGCAACAAGTAGTATGATGTCGCAGGGGACGGCGCCAAAAAGTAGCGTAGAGGGGATCACGACGATGACGAGGAGGATACAAGTAAAGACCATGAGTGGGACTAGGACGACGAGAAGTGAAGGGGTGGATGCGGGAGAGAGGGAGGAAGAGGGCAAGAAAGCTGTGTATATATATAGAAAGAGAGAGAGAGAGAGAGAGAGAGAGAGGGAGCGGGAGAGAGAGAGAGAGAGAGAGAGAGCGAGAGAGCGAGAGGAGAGGAGGGAACGTGGATTCAGCGGGAGACGGTGAAATGTTCCGCCCACGGTCGGAGTTCGTCGGCGTCGGAGACGGGTGCTTCAAGCAACGTCGGGGTGGAAAGGCAAGGTATGGACCTCGCAGAAGAGTGGACTGATTGGGGTGCTCTCGCTGTTTTGGCTTTCTCGTGCTTGAACAAGGCCGACGAGCTCCACAGCGTTGCCTCTAGACGGTTTCCGAGCTCGTCAAGAGGGTTTCCAAGCGGCCTACGAAGGCTTCGAGTGCACTTCAGAGACGTCCGAGACAGCTCGCGAAGCAATGTAGATAGCTCAAAAAAGAGACTTAGACCGGGGATCCGTAAGGGCATCTCGAGCTGAGGCTTCGAGGAGGACCTCTTGGGGGCTTCTGGACGCCTGTCGGGGGTCTGTTCGAGTGGCCTTGGAGCGTTGTGGGGTGCTCCGACAACTTTTGGAAGTCGTTAGAGAGGCGTGGAAGGCTGTTGGAGTTCTCGTGGGAATGATGGGAGCCTCTTCGGGCGGTCATGGGTGCCGCGTGACGCCTCCTGGGGGCCTCTGGGAGAGCTGTTGAGACGCGGTGGGAGTCCTCTGGGGCATCGGTGCTGCCGTTTTGGGAACGTGGGCCTAGATAGCCTCGACGCGAGGCGTCGGCGTTTCCATTTTGCAAACTGGGAGTGGATATGCAGCCTAATTTCCTCGTGAAGTCTATCCAAACAGCGTCGGGCTTTTGCCAATCGCTGCCTGGCGTGGCGCGATCAGCAAAAACCCGACGTTTTTTGACGGTCATGTGACGGGCGAAGACTGTCTCGAAGCTTTTGCTGGAGGTCGCTCAGGCAGTTGGGACGCATCGGAAGAGCTCGAGGCGGCAGGTGAGCCATGGATGCCTCGCAGAGAGGATCTGGGTGATGCTTGGGAAGGTCCTCAGGGAAGGACCTCTTAGGGGCTTCTGGAAGCCTGTCGGGGTGGCCTTGGGGCGTTTTGGGGTTTCTCCAAGAACTTGTGGGGGTCGTTGGAGAGGCGTGGAAGGCTCTTGGAGCTCTTTTGGGAATCATGGGAGCCTCTTTGGATGGTCATGGGTGCCTCGTGGCGCCTCCTGGGGGGTCCGTGGGCGAGCTCTTGAGACGCTGTGAAGTCCTGTGGGGGGTATCTTGGGGAGCGCTGGAGGCGTTCTGCATTCTTCTGGGACCGATCCCATGAAGATGTAGGCTGGGAGTCCCCTCCCGAGCCGATTTTTTGAGGATGTCGCTAGTGACGCGGGCGCCGTGGCAGTCCTCTGGGTTGGTCGCGGTAGTGGTCGCTGTGGTGGCGCTGTTGGTGCTGTTTGTCGCAGTCGTGGTCGTTGGGCTGCTGCTGGTCGCAGCCGTAATCGTGCTGCTGCCGCTGGTCGCTGTAGTGGTCGTGCCGGTGTTACTCGTGCTGCTGCTGGAAGCTCTCGTGGCCGCAGGCGTGGTCGTGGCCGTGGTGATGCTGGTCGCAGTCGTGATCGCGCCGTTGGTCTTAGTCGATGTTGCTGATGTAGGGCTGGTGCTGCGGCTGGTCGCAGCCGAGGCGGTCATGTTGTTACTGGCCGCAGCCTTCTCCCTCCTCCCTCCTCCCTCATCCCTCCTCCTCCTCCTCCTCCTCCTCCTCCTCACTCCTCCCTCCGCCTCCACCTCCTCCTCCTCCTCCTCCTCCTCCTCCTCCCTTCTCCCTCGTTCCTTCTCCCTCCTCCCTCCCCCTCCTCCCTCCTCCCTCCTCCTCCTCCTCCTCCTCCTCCTCCTCCTCCTCCTCCTCCTCCTCCTCCTCCTCCTCCTCCTCCTCCTCCTCCTCGTCACTTTTGTCCCCTCGCCGGAGCAGGCATCTCACGAACCCAGGACCAGGACAAAATCGGACCAGGAGAAAGCGGCGATCTCTGGGGGGCGAATGGGCGCCGCGGTCGTTCCAGAGCGCTCCGGCACACTCTGAGAGCGTCCCGCACCGCTCTGGAACGATCTGTCCGAGTCCTCGGCCCACCCGACCATTCCCCGAGGGCAGTTTTGCATCCTGGATCCATGTTTGATGGTCCCGTGGCCCCCTGACGGCCCCTGGAGGCCGAAACCGAGGAAAAACCACATCTAACGTGGACGTTTGGTGCAACTTTTCGGCCCGAGTTTTTCCCAGAGGCAAAAACAAACGCAACAAAAAACAAGGAAACCGAGGGGCCAAAAACGCGGGACAAAGCAGCGTGGATTTTTCGTACAAATTTTTTGGTGGCCCGCGGTGGCAGTCTATAGGAGCCCTTGATAGAGCCCCTTCAGGGCCGCTTGCCTTCGATTCTCGACCCCCTCGCGTTCCCAGACATCCAGAGGCAGTTCTTCGTCCTGGATTCACTTTTGATGGTGCTGGGGGCAGAAACAGCCTCCGGAGGCCGAGATGGCAGACCAGCCGCAAAAAGCAATCCGCGGGATGTCTGGGCTCCTTACCCGGAGGAGGAGGAGGAGGAGGAGGAGGAGGAGGAGGAGGAGGAGGAGGAGGAGGACCCTCTCCTCCTTCAACTATTGGGCGTCCGCGCAGATTGCTTGGATCCGAGCTGTAACACCCCCCCCCGCCGCGCGGAGCGCACCGGGGGAGCAGCGCTCGACACGCTGCCAGGGGGTGCCCAGCGCAGATCCAAGCACTCCGCGAGCACCGAAAGTTGGTGCTCGGGCCAAGAGGTCTCCAAGAGGTCCTCCAGGAAGGCCCGACGAGGCCCAAATCATTGATGTTCCTTAGGTTTTTGAAGGATTCTGGCATTTGCGCCTCTTCGGCTTTCCGACGGCTCAAGACGGCCCAAGAGGCTCCCAAGATCGCCCAAGAGGCTTTTTCGCCTGCCCCCCCCCATTGCTGGAGGCCTCCCAGATGGGGTCGGAGTGGATGGGGTCGGAGGACCGCGCCGCATCGCCGAAGCATCTCGGCGATGCATCGGCGATGCATCGGCGATACACCACAGATGCATCGTCGACGTCGGCGGTGCATCGGCCACGTCGGCGCGAAGCAAATCGGGCCCCGCATCGAGCCGAATAGGCGATGCATCGGCGATGCGGCGCGAAAGACAAAAATACATACGAAAAACAACACGAACTATAGTCATGTGTTCTGTCTTGTTGTTTGGTTCGTTTTGTTTGTTCTCTGCCGTTTGTGTTATGTTCGGTTGTTATGTTTTCCTGTCCTCCAACCCCATCTACTCCGACCCCGTCTGGGAGGCCTGGGCCACTGCCGCCCCGCCAGATCACGCCGGAGATCCGCAGGTCAAAAGGAAAGCCGACCGGGGGGCCGGCCCCAGCCTGCTGGACGAGCTGCTGCTGCTCCTGCCCTTCTTCTGCGCTTGCGCCTTGGCCTCGCGGCGGCCGCCGCGGGCGGGGCACTCGTCCTCCTCCTCCTCCTCCTCCTCCTCCTCCTCCTCCTCCTCCTCCTCCTCATGCTCCTTATCCTTATCCTCCTCCTCGTCCTCGTCCTCCTCCTCCTCCTCCTCCTCCTCCTCCTCCTCCTCCTCCTCCTCCTCCTCCTCCTCAGTCGAGAGGAACCTTTCGTCCACGTCGCGGCTAAGGCGGAGCCGCAATCCATGTCCGCCGCGCCCTCGGGCACAGGCCAGCCCGCGCGGCCGGCCTCTGTCAGTAGGCCTTGAGCCAGAACGTCGGCAAGACGGCGTCGACGTCCAGTTCGCTGCCCTGCTCTCCCCACGTCAAGCCCCCAGATCTCGACTCAGGTGATGAACGTGTTCAGGTCGTTGATCTCTTGTTCCAGCTCCCAGCATTCCCTCATCATGCCGTCGGCTGCCCAGAAGATCATGCAACCCGTGAACCTCCTGCCTCCGCGCGAAAGTCCACCACTTATGAATGCAGCGTGGTCACACGCCGCCGAAGACCAATAGGCAGTGCTCAACTCGAAGGTAACTTGTGGATCCACTCGATCTCCACGCCTTCGCCTCATGCTCCAATCTCCACCATCCGAGTGCGACGGACCTCAGCGCCTCTCGTAAGACACTTTCTTTGCTCAACCGTCTGCGCAGCAATCTCGTGTGCCGATCCACCACAACGTACGCAAGACCGATCTATCCAGCAACTCTCTGACCCACTGGGCGTGATACAACGTGTGAAGTTCTGCTGGAACCCGAACTTGTGCCGCCGTGATGCCGGTAAACGCACACTGCGCATCCACACGAGCTTCTAACGGTATCGCTGGCCGCATACAATTCTCGAAATCATCCACCATGTCATGAAGCTGTTTAGCATTTAACACTCCTTTCTGAACCTCAGTCAAGAAACCCGCCAACAATACAATATAGCTACATCCGTCGGACAACTGACATAGCTTGGCTCCCCACGTGCTGTGAATATTGTGGGCTTGTTTTCGTGCGTAGTATTCTAGGATATTGCATTTACCACCAGGGCTGTCTCCATCTTCCACCAACCAGTACACTGCCCTTCGCACGGCTAGCACTTTGTAATCTGGTTCTCGCCGACATGCCGGATCTCCAACCGTGGCCACCTGCACCGGCAACGATAGCTTACGGGACACAAGAACCAGCGGATTCCCCGTCATACGCCGTAGCAGTATGTTCACTTTCTTGATATGGCCAACTCTGGGACTCTTGCCACGCCTCTCGAGCGCAGCGACATAGATGCAGATGTCCACTCTCGTCATGATACACCACGCGACCGCTCCGAGAAGGGAAGAATACAACTTCGCGTGCCTACCTGGAGGTCCCGCATCATCTGCCATGCCCTGCAGCTCTTTCTCGTCGATGCAGCTCGGATTCTTGACGCACTCCGTCAGGTCCACCACGATGCTCATGTCCTCCAGCTGTCGGTGGCGCAGGCCGCAGTGTATGAAGTTCTTCTCCTACATGGTCATCTTCCCGAACACTGCTCCCGGCGCCTGCACCAGCTCGGACGTGGCCTTGTCACGGCCGGCGTACTTCAGGTCGTCTAGGTGCGTCGATGCCACCATCGCCATCACCCTGTCCTCGTGCTTCAGCCAGAGCTGTGGATCTGCGCGCGTAACCCGCAGTACTATGGACAACAGCACCTGGTCGCGGCGAAGACCGACGAGCCGCTGAGCGTCGTTCAGTCCGACGCCGCCTTTCTCCATGTGGAGAACCTCCAGGATGCAATCGGAAACCTCGAGGCCTTCGGCCGGCCGCAACAGCTCGGCGGATCCCATCGGCAACTCAAAACATATGTCGCGAATGGCTTCATTCAACAGCTTCGACACTTCCTCAAACGTGATGCCTTGCAGGAGCGCCGAAGAGATATCCGCACCGCACAACTTCCACTGCTGCTGAGCCGCCAGGATGTTCACCATCCTCTGGCCCATCGCGCGCTAGTGCCGGTGAACGTATTCACCTCGTCCTTGTGCCGATCCTGGAAGCCGCTTACCGTCAAATGCTGCGTATGATTCTGATTCTCGTCAAGGTGCCATCCGGTGCTTGCGTCCACTTCCGTTTGTCTACCCACTTCGCGTCGATGAAGTTCTTGGCACCTCTACAGCTGGTCCTCGACATAAAGCCGGCCTAGCTACGCAACTCTTTCAGACGAGCCGCTCGAAGGGCTTCACGGTGTTCGATCTTCTCGGCCGGCATCAAGGTGCTGTCGTCTCTCTCGATGACCGCCTTCGCGGTGCCGTCCTCGTAGAAGCTCAGCACGACCGCGTCGCCCTCGTGTCCTGGATTCCCCGCGACACGTTGCTCGCTCAGCATCTTCCACGCTTCCGCCGCGAAGCCAACCTGCATCACCCTCTCGGGTTGCAGAGATTTCACAACCTCCGCCGTTGCTCTGCCGTAGTTCGTCCCCTGGGTGATCCAAGCCTCCATCGCGTCATCATCCGAGATCACCTCACTCCTTCCGAACACCGACGTATCGGGCTCCTCGGTCAGGTAGCTCGTTAGCCCCACGATGTCATCCTCATCTGTCTCGTACTTCCCCACTTTGGCGACGGCCCACAGCGCTTCCACCGAGAAAAAAAGCATCTCCACCCTATCGTCATCTGGATCCGTCTCTGCGGTCTCCTCTGGCACGGACACCTCGACAGGCGGCGGGAGTCCTGGAGGAGGTGCTGGACATGGCTCCGGTGGATCATCTGCCATGCGCCCTGCCACGCGCCCCCTGGGGCATTCGGGCTCTTGTGATCCCGCCGAGCGTGGCCTCTTGGGCATCGAGACGTGCTCTCGACGCCAGGCGTCCACGCCCAGCAGGCGGGGCCCTCCAACATGTGGCACCTCGGTCGCCTGTACTTGAAGTATATCCAGCACGTCGGGCCCCACGGACAGGAACTGCATGAAATACGTGGCGCTCCAGCCCCTGTCCCTAAATATCTGTCTGAGACTGAGGTGTTCCGACGCTGCTCCTTCTCCATAGCACATTGCCCCGGTGCCCCGTTTACTCTGCCGCTTGGGTATCCACCAACACATCGTATAGTCATGCAGTCCTGGCAGCGTAGGCACCCTCTTTTCAACTCGAGCCGCTGCAACTCCGTTGAGATGAAATACACAAGAAGCCACCTGCAACACCGCCGCCACGACCTTGGGATATTTCCGCGATGTCTTCGTCAGCGCCCAGCCACTCGCCGTGGTTGCCCAGCCCAGTTGCTCGAAACCGTCGTTGATGTCGTGCGCAAAAGCGATGAGCAGCTACGCTGGGTCGTTCTCCGTCGTCCGTCGCCATGAACGCCGCGCCGTAGGAGAACAAGATACCCCTCCTCACGCCCGTGGCCCTGATCGCGAGGTTTCCGCCCTGCCACAGGATGGCGAGCATGCCCGTCTCGGGCGCTGCCACCGACGCCACCGCAGCTGGACCCTTCCAGCTCGGCACATCCTTCAGGGCTTTGCCGGCGGTTGTAGAAGTCGACCAGGTCACCGACCTCGAGCTTCAGGTCCTCCAGCACGTGGGCTGACCTGGCCTTGGATGCCCTCTATATTATTGCTTGAGCTGTGGCCTCGATGATCGACGTCGTCGCGATCTCTCATAGCCTCTGCACGTGCCGACACATGGCCAGGCCATCCTCGTCATCGATCTCCTGGGCGCCACTCCTCTCGAAGTCCCTGAGCATCAACGCTCTGCCGTACAGCGCCTTGTAGGGAATGTCCTCGCCGATCGTCACGAACACATTCTTCGCGTAGACCGCTTCCGCCAGCTTCGAGGCCAAGGGCAGCTTGAGGTCATTCTCTCGCCACTGCGCATCGATCAAATGTAGCTGCCTCCTCAGAATTTCTTGATGTCGTTCCACCACTTGCGCGTGCTGACCTTGTGCCTCGACCTTCCGCGCGGCGCCCATCCTACCTGGAGCGACTCCAGCCTCTCCTGCTGCAAGTGCCCCTTCGCCGACGACCGTCAGCACTGCCATGGGACCGAACATATGCATCCAGGCCGTCCAGATGAAGTCGAGAAGGGCCTCGAGGGTCTTATCTGTCAACTCTCGGGCGAACGTGAATCGGATGCAGCCGTCGCAGATGTGTCCCACTACCCGGCGCTCATAGTAGAGTAGGTTCAGCTGCACCTCGTCATTGAAGACGATGCTCAACTTGGCGGTAGTGGTAGGCTGGTTGCCGCCCTTCACCCACAGTCCGCAGACCCTGCACGTGCCGACGACGTCGTCAACCATCTGGATCACCTTGGGCAGCACACCGGCCGCGGCGAGCATTCGCTCCATAGCCTTCTTGTTCCAGAGGTGAACTGCAAGCTTCTGGTACTGCTCTGAAGTTTTCTGGGAGCTTCCTGGTGATGTATTCGGACAGTGACGAGGATGTTCGGGGTCGGTTTGGTCAACGTCATTGTCATCCCTCGGGCGAGTCAGCACATTTACGAAGCTCGATCGGGTGCGTAATTGCTGGACGTGAGCATCTGGCTGCCCTGGCGAGAAATATCATCGCATGCCGATTGACGCGAGGGCCTCTCCCAAGCTGGGTCCTCGAAGGTTCGAGCAGGGACCGACCGTCCAGGCATCCTATAGTCCTACCACGAAATGCTCTCAGAACCCAAACATGCTCTAAGAACAAGAACAATGTTCTTAGAACATAAGCCCGATGTGAGAAAACAAGACAGCCTCCGCCAGACATGTTCTAAGAACATCTCGTGGAAACCACAAAAGGTTCTCAGAACATTGTTTGGTGGCGCTATAGGCGAGCCAGGACGCTTCGCCACTGCTTGAGACCTGAGCCTGTGGAGGCGGCTCTCACGCGGAGCTCCCGGCGGCGGCCAGGCAGCCCGAGCTCCCCGCAGTGCTCATGCAAAGCCCTCTGCTGCCCAAATGTACCGCGGGCCGCGCAGGGTCTCATGGCACGGGGCCGCGCCGCGCGGCATGAGCCCAAGGGTGCAGCCCAAGGGTGCAGCGGGACGCTTCGCCACTGCTTGAAAGGTCGCCGCGTGGCAGCTGCGCTGGCCGGCACCGCGGCACGAGCGGCGGGCGCCTCCGAGGCGGCACGGCCTCGAGAGCCCGCGCCTCGGGGGCGGACGCGAGGAGGGCTCGCGAGCGCCCGCTGGGGGCCGCGACGGCTGCCCTCCGCGCAGCCGCAGCAGGTGCTCCCGGGCCTGGGGGCCTGAGGCAACGCGCGGCCATGCATGCTGCGGCTGCTGTCCTCCTCCTCCTCCTCCTCCTCCTCCTCCTCCTCCGCCTCCTCCTCCTCCGCCTCCTCCTCCTCCGCCTCCTCCTCCTCCGCCTCCTCCTCCTCCGCCTCCTCCTCCTCTTTTTCCTCCTCCGCCTCCTCCTCCTCCTCCTCCTCCTCCTTCCCCTCCCGCTCCCGCCTCTCCCCCCCTCGGCCGTGGCAGTGATGGAGGTCGAGGCACCGCCTCGACGAGGCAGGCTCGCGCGCTGCGTCCGGGTACCCAGTGCTCGGCACCAGCGGCGACCAGGACGGCGCGGCCCGGCGGCACGGAGCCGGAGGCCATACAAAACAGGGTGGGGGGGGTGGGGGGGAGCCACCAGTTGAGCTTCGAGTCCATATCTCGATGATCCTCAGAACGTGTGTTAGCTCCAGCGTGTGTTTGTCCATCGAGTCCCTTCGATTCGACGCAGGCGATGCAATGATCTACTGGTTGGGCTGAAGGGGGTAGCACACACATTGGGCTAACACAAGTCCTGAGGGTCATCGAATATCTCGGGGGGGTGGCGATGTTACCCATGAGTTGTTATGCAGCGAGGACTCCTGGTGCTGGAGGATGTGTGTGTGTGTGGAGATTGTGGGATGTTCGGGCAAGCCCTGTTGCGGGGTTGGGGCAGCGTTTGCAGCCCCCGGTCCCCCACGAAGATGCGCGGAGAGTCTCTTGGCGTATAACGTCGGGGCTTCAGGCCTTAGGATGCAGTAGGTATGTAGATCTTGATGCTCAGACTTCGTCTTTGATCCTGCTCCTGTGCCTGTCCATGCTCCTCCTCCGACATCCGACGATGCGATGCTTCGGTGCCCGGCCTCAAGTGTCCCGACCCCGCCCCCGCCCCGGATCTATGACGGGTGACCCCGGGGCCGACAAAGGGCCCTAGGGGCCAACATCGAGGAACTGCGCTGGGCCGAAGAAGCAGATACGAATGATCATGACGGAAATGTGGGCCCGTCGTCCGTCATCGTCGTCGCCCGTCCGTGACCCGTCCGTTGGTGGTCGTCGTCGTCGTCGTCGTGGTCGTGGTCGTGGTCGTCGTGGTCGTCGTCGTCGTCGTCGTCGTCGTCGTCGTCGTCGTCGTCGTCGTCGTTGTCGTCGTCGTCGTCGTCTTGCGCCGTCGTCGTCGTGCGCCGCTTGGTGGGGGGGCGGAGGGCCGCTGCACCCACCCCGTTCGGCCCTCGGCGGCCTTGGGCGGCCCTTGGGCGGCCCCCCCCCCCTGCGGCCGTCGGCCCCCCGCTCCCCCCCCCCCCCAACGCTCCCCGAAGCGGGAGGCGGAAAACGGAGGGGAGAACGAGGATCGAGGAGGACGGAGTGAGGAAGCGACGGAGGAGAGGGGAGGGAGAGCATGCGAGGGTGATCCCCCTTCCACGTTCCCGCGGAGCTCCTCGCCGAGATCATCGTCATCCTGCTCGTCCTTCCTCCTATTGAGTCTGCTAGCCGCCGTGCTCTCATTATTCCTCCGAGTTCTTCTCCATACCCTCCTCATTATCCCCACTGGTTTGGAGCCTGTGTTTAAACATTCCGGGCCGATGACGGCCGTCATCTAAGGGTGGAGGGGCCGATGACGTCACGTTTCGCGCCGGCGGCGTCTGGGAATGCCTAGGGATGACCGAGGACGGGTATCAGCAGCATGTAATGTAGGTGGCAGCCTGCGCCACAGCGTCTGTGTGCACCACACTGCCTGCGTGCACCACAGCGACTGTGACACCACACCGCCTATGTACACCACAGCAGCCGCGTGCAACACAGCGCCAGTGTGTGCCACAGTGCCTGCGTGCACCACGGCGCTTTTGGACACCACATCGCCTGCGCACACCACAGCAACCGTGCGAAAGACAACACCAGCGTACACCACAGCGCCCGCGTGCACCACAACGCCAGTGTACACCACGGCGCCTGTGTGTACCACAGCCACCATGTGCAGCAGAGCACCATGGTTGCACATATAATTTTAAGAGGAATCCTTATGACAAAATGGAGCGGCAGTGAATTCCACAGAAAACAATAGTTTTATAAAAGATTTGGAAAGGAAGCTGTATGGAAAAAGGAGCGCCGCTGGAATCTACGAGTCCCCCAGGGTCCTCCCGCAACATCCTGACTCCTCCCATCTGCGTCCAGCAGGCTCCCGCAGAGTTGGCCGTCTGAGAACCAAGTGGACTGATTCAACGGACCGTTCTGCAGTGCACATTGAGATGCGCACGCGCACTGTAGCGCCGACCCGACCCGCACGGCGGGGGGAAGGGTGGGGGAGGAGGAGGAGGAGGTGGAGGAGGAGGAGGTGGAGGAGGGCACAGGGCCAAGAGAAGAGAGAGCGGACAAGACGCGAGCAAGGGACAAGAGGGCAAGCGGACAAGAGCCGAAGGGGGGAGGAGAGGGCGTCCCAGCACCACGCGCCTCATCGAAGAAGCACCTGAAGCCCAGGCCAGCGACGCAT